TTAATGGTACTATAGGTACAGGTATGTTTATGACATTGATAATATTACTGCAAAAAATGCTGTGACGTTACAGAACCCCCCCAACAAATTGTTGAAGGTGTCTGTAAGAATACCTGAAAACCATTTGTTGTAGAGTAAAAGAGCAGAATTTTTTGGGAATGACTATAGACTAGCATTTTGAGGGAATATAACATTTTAACTAGGGACATCAATTTTGGAGGAGAACGTGATACTATTGCAAGAAAAGGAGATATAATCTGTGCGTATTAAATTTTATTTGATGGGAGGTATATAAGGTTTCAAGTTAATGATATTATGAGTACCTTGAGGGGTATCATCATCAGGGTGTACAAGTTCATATGCGTTAATAGTTTTGACGTTTTTAACTTTGAAGGGGCCCTTGTAGAGGAGAAAGAATTTTGATATTTTTTTGTCTATTTGATTACTGAGCATGTGGGTACGGACTAGTACGAGATCGCCTATCTTGAAATGAGTGGGGTTTAATTTTGACATTTGACTTTTTTTACGGGATTCGGCTTTTGTTAGTTGAATTTCTTGGGCTAGGGTTAATTGTTTATTATATTCGAAAGGGGAATCACTGTGGGGGAATTGTATGAATTGCGTTAACGGGTTGTGTTTTGAATTTTTTAAGAAAAGTGTAGAGGGAGATTGGTGGGTGGACTCATGACGTACGTTGTTGAGTATCCATTCGATGTATGGAACATACTGGGGCCACGTCGAATGTTTTTGGTGACAGTATGTCCGGAACATCCTACCTAGCTCTCTCATGACTCGTTCTGCGGGGTTAGATTGAGGGTGGTAGATGCTTGTATGTGAAACTTGAATATTAAATTTTTTAAGGGAAGTTTGCCAATATTTGCTGATAAATTGTCGACCGTGGTCGGAAACAATATTTTGCGGAACTCCAAATTTTGGGAAATAATCGGTGGTTAATTTTTTGATACATATTTTGGCATTGGCTCGCCGGAGAGGGTACAGTTTAACAAAGCGGGAAAAATTATCTACTATCACGAAAATATAGGCAAATTGAAATATGCCTATAGGGAGAGGGCCATAGAAGTCAACTAACAGTTTTTCGAGGGGTTGGTGGGAGAGAATGGGTTGCATAGGACCAGCTATACGAGTAGTCTTCGGTTTGCACTTCTGACATAACTCGCATGTTTGTACTATACAACGGACAGTTTTAGAGAATGAGGGGAAATAGCATATGTTTCGGAGAGAATGGGCTGTTTTGAGGGGACCAGTGTGAGCATAATACTCATGAAATAATTTAATAACTGGGATTACCAGGTGGTCAGGTAGATATAGGGACCAGTGAGTGTCATACTTGAACTTGCGGATGAATAATATGTTGTCCTTCATGGTATAATAATGATGCCATACTGGTGGGGGGTCAGATTTTAATGAGGAAATAATATTAACTAATTTGGGGTCTTTTTGTTGTTCGAATGAGAGATTTTTAAAGAGAGGGATTATGTCGGGGGGAATGGGAGGTGGGAGAGTATAATGCAGAATGACAGGGGGAGTCTTTAGGGGGTTGGTCATCTCGACCGAGGGGGTGACGAGAGAGAGTATCGATAGGATTATCTTTACCGGGACAATGATGAATTTGAAGGTCGAACTCTTGGAGGGCAAGAGTCCAACGGGTCAGACGATTATTTTTTAACTTACAGGAGAATAAGAATGTTAATGCTTTATGGTCGGTGAATATTTTAATGGGATGTCCTAGGATATAGATTTTAAATTTTTGGCAAGCAAAGAGAATCCCCAACAGCTCCAGTTCGGTCACCGTGTAGTTTCTTTCGGCCCCACAAAGTGACCTACTGGCAAATGAAAGGGTGTTCCTTTGGCCGTCGCTGTCAATTTGGAATAATTCGGCACCGAGTCCTATATAGGAAGCGTCGGTTTGAATACAGAAAGGGGTATTGAAATTTGGGTGAGTGAGAGATATTTGAAGGGAGAAAGCAGTTTTAATTTTTTGAAAATCGATTTTATTTTGTTCTGTGAATGTCCAGGGAGTGTCTTTGCAAATTAAATGAGAGAGGGGGTGTAAGAGAGAAGAATGATTTTGTGAGAATTTACGATAGAAGTTACAGAAACCAAAAAATGATTGTAGGTCCTTTTTGTTATGGGGTTCGGGAAAATTTTGGAGGGCTTTAACTTTGTCAGGGTCCATTATCATACCTTTGGGGGATATGAAATGTCCGAGGAATTTAATTTCTTTCTTATTGAAATGGCATTTTTTAAATTTAAGTGTGAGACCTGCTTGGGCAATTTTGTGAAAAATCCACTCAAGGGTATTGAGGTGGTCTTCAAATGAAGGGGATGAGAGGAGAATGTCATCCACGTAAGTATGAATGTCATTTGGGGATGGACAGGGTATTGAATAATTATTTAAGGCGGCTTCAAGTCCTTTGCCGAAAGCAGCATTGGAAATATTCAGACCAAACGGGACAACGCAGAACTGGTACGACCGACCGTCATACAAAAAACTAGTGTATTGTCGTACAGAGGGGTCAAGGGGAATCTGCCAGTAACCGGAAGAGAAATCGAGAGAGGAGAAAAAAGATTTATTGTTAAATTTAGCTAGGATATCATCAATGGGTGGAGAAGCGTCTCGAGTGGGGAGAATAATTGTATTTAATTTACGGGCATCTAAACATAAGCGTATCGAGCCGTCGGTCTTGATGACAGTGACCAAAGGATTATTGTATGGTGAGTCTGACCGTTCGATCACCCCCCATTGAATCATTTTATCAATCTCTTGTTGTACAGCCGGGCGTCGAGAGAAAGGGACTGGATATGGTTTTATTTTATAGGGATCATGGGGTTTGACCTTAAATTTGTACGAAAAGAATTTATGAAGGCCGGGTTTGTCTTGAAAGATATGTTGATATTTTTGAAGGAGGGATGTCATTAAATTTTGTTGAGAACTATTGAGGGGAATGTCATTGAGAGCGATATTTTTTTCTGTTTCAAACGGGAGAGGTTGGTATATTGATTTGGCAGGGGTTTCAGAAAGTGGGGGGAACTCGTTAGATACGTTAATATTTTTTAATGAATTGACCAGACTGTTTGGGTCATGGTCAATGATCAATTTAAAAGGTATGTTGTTTGTTACAGAGAGGAGGGAAATTTCTTTAGTATTGTAGTCTATAGTCACCCCGTTTTCCAGCAACCAATCCGTTCCCAAAATGATAGGTGTAGAAAGTTGGGGTACAACAAGAAAAATACCAAAGGTGTCATAATTATTAATGGAGAAATTTAAATAGATTTGAGATTTAATTTTGACCGACTTGTTACTGAGAGCTGTTGTGAGTAATATACCGGCGAGAGGAAAGAGCGGAATCTTATGCTGAGAGGGGTCCATTGTTAAATTTTGAAAAAGTTCTTCAGAGATGGCGGATACCGAAGCACCGGAATCCAGGAGAGCGTTATATGAATTATTAAAAATCTGTAAAGAAATTTCAGGGCGATAATTTGGGGGAGGTGTGACTTCATGGTTTAGATCTAACGGGTGGGTAAGTATAGAGAGTTGAGGATTTTGTTATAGAGACACAGTACACATCCTCGCGGGTCTGGTCGAAACTAGTTTCCCGGAGGTGGTACGGCATGGTCTGGTAGAGAGGATGGTTGAGTGTTACTATTGTTTTGATATTGAGGTCTATTGTAGTTGTTATTACGGGAGGGGTTTCGATTTTGATTTTGAGGGCCGGAATGGGGATAATACTGTTGTTGTTGAGAATTGGGACGAGAATTATTGTTAGAATTACCATTGTTGTTCTGATTGTTGTGGGGTGTGTTGGAACGTTGAAGGTATGTAAGCTGTTTAATCAACTCGTTCGTAGTGAGAATGCGGAGTCCCCTTAGGGCTAAGGATACGTTGTAGGAGAAATGAGATGTTATCTGGTCGACCATTTCCATCTGGTCAATAGGAGGTTGAAGATGACGTGCACGACTGATCCAGTCCATGGCGTGTTCAGACATTGTGGCCTCATCACGGTGATAGTGGGGCCGATATAATTCATTGCGTATTGAACGCTGTAAGCTTTGTGACCAGAAATAATCTCGGAACAGTTCTACGAAATCATTGTAATTTATGGGAGGGGGAAGGAGAGTATTGTACCAAAGCAAAGCTTTGCCGGTAAAGTTATCACTGATGAAATTAATTTTGACCTGGTCGGAGGCATTATGCATTAAAAAATACTGATCAACCTTATCAAGGAAGTCAGCGGGGTGAGTGGGAGAGAGTTGACCGTTATACTTAGGGATGCGGTGGGGATCTAGAGAGATAGCAGAAGTATGGGATAGATTATTTGAAAGGTTACTATGGTTAGAGAGGTTTGGATTATTTTGACAATTTTGAATAGCTGAGATTGAATTATTGGGAAGACTATTTATTTTGGAGATATTGGGCAAGACTGTTGAAGAGAGAACGTTAGGAGGGGCTAGTGATTGTGTTAATCTTGGGGGTAATGATGAATTTAGTTGAGGGGGGCATTGATATATTGATGGTTTGGTTGAAAGGATGGGGTCTATGGAAGTATTTTGAAGTCTATTCTCTAGAGCCGCCAGTCGTGAGGCTTGACCTTCGGTGATACAGATCCGGTCCGAAAGCGATTGGATTTGTGTGTTGATACTACGCTGTACACTGTTCATGTGGTTGATACTTTCATTTAGGGTGGTGGAATGGGAATTATTATTACTTGCTATACACTCGGCAATGTTGCCTTGTATTGCAACGAACTCACTATGGAAATTGGTTTGTACTTGTGTCAGTTTGGATGTGATATCAGCGTCAACCTCATCTATGCGGGTACACAGGTCGTGGAATTTTTGATCATACTCGATGAATCGATTGGCAAAAGAGTCGAGCTGTCTATGGAACACCTGGTTCATGTCATCAATTTGTTGTTGCAGGGAGGTTAGCGACGGAGTGACCGTATCGGTTAAGGAGAGGTCTTCCTCGTTGGGGTTGCTCATGGTGAGGTCGAAATCGGTAGAGGGGAGTATAGGGGATTGATAATAGCTTGAAGGGTTGTACCTATCAGGCTGTTTGGTCTTGCGCTGACCAGCACTATACATGTGACAGTAACGGGAAAGAACGCAAAACGGATATACACAGGGGTTTTTCAGCAAAGGGGTGTTTACTGGCACCTCGGTAGCATAGAAGGCAGAGCAGTTATAATATATATATAATAGTAATAAAATAGTTATAAAATAATTATAGGGGTTAAAGGGATAAGACCTTATATAAAATAATTATAATCAAATGTTAACTTCTCAGGAAAGAGAATAATAAACTAACTATTTGTAATAGTAATGAATCAATACTTTAAATAAAGCAATGAACTAAATAATAAAAATAATAATAAGTATGAAATACTTCAATAGTACAGCAATAGAATAAAAACTAATAAACAAGGGAACGTAAACATTTACTAATTATATGATTATGAAATATTTATAGGTAACAGCATACACTAACTGGTCAAAGTACTACGATAGTACCATACAGTGAACTATTCAGGCACCAATAAGAAAAGAAAAAAACTAAATAATAATAATATTGGATAATGATATGTAGATCACCACATATGAGTGGGATAACCTGAGTTACTAATATTATAATAAGTGTATCAACACTGTATTGAATATTGATGAAATTAATAATAGTATATAATATGATATAAGGTAATATAATAAGTGTGAACCAAAGTCACTAGAATATTTTAATTTATAGTATAATAAAAGTGGGGCCCTAGTCGGGGCAAAGCTACCTAACACAGCACCTCAGTCGTCGTTGAGTATTATGTAATAATGGGAAGATATTTAATTAATGAGTGGGAGCATATAGATAATACGTTATATAAGAAAGAGAATAATATTTTATTTTTATATAGGATATAATCATGGGGAATTATTTAATTAATAATAAATGGGAGTACATATTGATGTTATATAAAAGAGGAAATATAGCTTACTAACCTTTGTATATAAAGACTAATTATGGTGATATTTTAATAGAATTGGGGAGAGCATTAATATGTGTAACATGGGCATTAAGGGGACATAATATTAAATATTTACTAGTGGTAAGGTACATAGAAAAGCAAGAAAATTTAATTATTTTCGTATAGTGACATTGTTCTAATATTTGAGAAATAAAATAATAATTTAGTTTTTTAAATCATTTGATAATATAAGAATAATTTGTTTTATCCACCAAGGTATACAGGTATGTGTTCTGAAGGAACATAATATAATAATAAAGTTAACTTTTGTCATGAGACAGAAAGAATATAGTAATCCGCAGACTTAAAACATAATATCACAATAACAAAATTGACCATGTGGTTTTGGGGAAAAAGTGTAAGTTATCGCAGCACTATAATATCAAAAGGTTCCTAACCATGTTATGCAGGGGAGGCAAATGGGTCTAGGGAACATACTAAAGGGGGTTATACAAGGGAAAAATATTATAATCATACCAAAGGGGAATAGACGGGTCACTAGCAGTGTTCGGTCGTCTCATCGCCGCAGCTGTCAGCACACACCGCCACCGTCGAAGCGCCGCTGCCGCCTCCAATCCGTCACACACACCAGCAGGAACAATTTCTGAAATTAATGACTGGATAACAAACATAATCATGGGGGGAACATAAAAATAATAATAAGTTAATATTTACCTTGGTAGTATAACATTTTGTTTTACATAATATAATAATAATACAGTATTTTTTTTTTTTTGTACCAAAAGTAAATAATTAAAAACATGACTTTAACGTTAAGCTAATAATGTAATAAAGTATCTCTCTAGGAGAATAATATAGTCATATTTTGAATAAAATATATAATAAAAAAACTGGAGAGATTTGGGGAGTAATAATATTAGGGAATTTATGAGATTTAATCAATATGTGTTTGCGTTACAGGAGAATGATAGTTTTTAAGATGAAAGTGGATAAGAAATGTTGCCATGCCATGTGCTTGCCATAAGGGAATTTTACCATGTTTTACATACCTTAGATTGCCATTTTTACAAGAGAAATTTATATTTTAACAATTTTAACCATTTTAAGTTTTATAATTTTATTAAGGGGACAGAGAAGAGAGAAAAAGAAAAAAAAATGTATTAGTTACAAGGGGAATTTTGGACATCGAGTCCTGTCACGGTCGCCATATGTAAGAATTTGGTAGTTTGCTAGGCTACCAAAAGCTACCCACGACCAAAGGGGAACACTTCGGTCGTGAACTATGAGCCGCACCGCGTGTTAGCCCGAAGGCTAAGTCGGTGGAACTCATAGGCTTTGTACACGCAGTGGTGAATGAACACCAAAGATTTATTTAAAAAAGGGGAAAAGAAGACATAATATAAAAAAAAATATAAATTAAATAACAAAAGAAAGTTAAGATATAATCAGAGGTATTGTATTTTACAATGTGCACAACGTGCAATAATAGATATTTGTGAATAATAATAATAATAATAAACTGGCAATTTCGAAAAAGATAATAATTGTTGCCTCATGGCAATTGTTACAAAAGAGTGTATTATTTGGGCACATGCGTTTAACACATAATAACATACACAATAATGTTGGGACATGGCAGTCATGTGAGTATAATAAAAGTGGGACGGGAATTAGGTAAAGAATATATATTTGCTTTGGACTGAGCGAACCCACGGATCAGCCCACGAGGTTCGGCGGAACACATATTATTTTTATATTAAATTTTACTTCGCCAACCATAGGGTTACCGTCCGGCATATCGCTAAGGACGATAAGGATGGGAGGTAACAAAAAAAAACTGCGCCAGGCGCAACAGTTGACACATCTTAAAAAGTTATCCTAACGCAAATAAAAAGGAATATGGGGGGGGGGGTGGATTTTAATACATTACAATATTATATTGATGGACGACGAGGCTGCTGACGGTTGACCGACGGCTGCGATGGGCTGGCCAGATGGCCGTCGACACACACGCGGTCGACATGGCCCATCTGCATCGGTCAGTGGCTGAAGGTTGCTTCGCCC